TTACCACATCCTTGACGAATTGGTCAAATATCGTCTCATTTGATAGCTTCTTGGATTCTGCATCATATAGCGACATTCTTCTCATGGTTCTCTTCTTTGATTGCTCTTTCCAGTGTGCCAAACATATTGTTACTTCGTTTCTGATATACTACTTATATCAGATTATAAGTAGCACTCACGACACACCTACCTATATTACTTCTTAGATTTTTAACCATCTCCCACCCTATTGTTTGGTTATGTGTTAATACATGCAGTGCAGTCGCTGAGGTTTTTTCTAAATTACTTATCTTTTCAGGGTCAACCATTCTCACGGCGTCAATCATTCTCAACTTAGATGAATTCTTATGTTCTGACTAATTGTGATCTATTAGTTTGACCTAAGTAGTTGACCTCACTCACAGTCATTGCAGGGTATTTTGTAAATTATATTATTTTGTCTAATTGGGTCAACTGGGTCCTTTAACCTACATAGCTTGTCGTACCTGAGTGAGTTTGTAGGTTTGAATGTCACCCTAATTCCTGCTTTATTAAGAATCCTTCGTAGGGTCTCAGTTGTCCCTTCTTTATATGGAAAACTGTGGATGCCTTATATTCTCTCTTATTTTACGTTATCATTATTAGTTTCGCAATTATTTTTATTTTGCTTTTGACCTTTTCTGATCTTCCTAATGAATTTTATAGGATAGTTATTTAACACCAACCAGCTATTTTTCTCTCTGTTTCATTTCATCGTTTATGTTTTATGTTGTACTACTTAGTGCTACTGCTCAGTTTGTTAAACACTTAACTAAGCCTGCCTTAACAGTTAATGTATGAGATGAATTAAAATCTAAATATCTATTAGAATGTGTTGGCTTTTTATAAACGCTGGTGTGCAGTTTACCTTTTTCTATTCGTTTTATTTTAAAATATAACATACCTAATTCTCCTTGTTCCTTTTCCGATTCAAATGTGAATTTTATTCCTTCTACTAGTGAGTTTATATGTGACAAGAAAGTGTCATCCACATATCTTCACCATATTTTTGGAGTAGGATTAAATGTATTGAAAGCAATATTTTCCCAGCTGTCCGCAAAGATATCTGCTACGATACAGGATATTAGTGATCCCACTGCTACACCTGTTTTTCCATATGTTTTGCCTTGAAATATAAAGATAGTAGACGTGAGACATAGCTGAATTCCTAAAATAATTTCGTCAATGGGCAGCTTTGTCCTATGAGTAAGTTCAGCATCCGAAGGTATTTCTCCTTTAACGGCTTCTAAGGCCATATTCCTTGGTATACTAGCATAAAGAATAGGTAGGTGGAGAGAGAGGTTGATTACTGAATCCTTGTTCATCAAGTCTACACCGAACACGTGGAATAGGAATGGCTCATCACTCATACCGGAAATATGGAAAATACTACTACCAATCGAGTCAAGCGGCGATAAATAACGGAATTATGTAAACGAATTTAGAAAGTTGTGTGAGTAAATTGATATGATTATGAGCAGAAATAAATTGTGTTCGAAGGTGGTCATCAGTAAATATTACTGTATAACACTGAGAGACTTTATCAAAATAAGCTTTATCCATAATGGAATTATACTCTACCACAGCGCACAAGTTCTTTTCTTATGTCAACTACTTTATCATAGCCATGTGAAAAGTGTTTGTGTATTGATATAGTGATATTTTTGAAATTCTCAGGCGAAAGCTTTCAGTATCATCACAAAAAATTATAAACAGCGAACAATGTTACATCTTATTAAAACACAGAACTTCAGCCGCTTATCTCCATTGCACTCAGTTATGAGCTATTACTTTCAACATGTTTGAGGACTGCCCACAAACTTTCGTTTCTTCTTCAAAAGATTTCCGCACCAGCCTAGGGTCATGTCTAACACATCGGTTTACGTTTGGGTCTAAGGCCTCTTGTATGACGTTAGTTGAAGGCTTCCTCGGTGCATGTCCATTCAATGTCCATTTCCTTTGGCACAGCTGTTATACCAACCAGAGATTGTCGGCTGGTTCGTTGCGAAAATTCGTTGTTGATTATCCTTTCCGGTCACTCATTTGATCGTAAGTGTACAGCGAAGTTAGACGTTGGTGAATGTCTGCAGCCTATTGGAAATGCCTTTCATAACACGGCCACGAAGTCTTTGGACCATATGGGAGCACTACCTTGACATTAGTGTTAAAAATTCGGATGTTGTACCTTGTGCTGAGTTCTATCGAACTCCATATCGATTTCCGAGTGATGAACGCTCGTCATGCTTCTCCAATCGGACCCCTGCTTGATTTGATATCCTTATCCTTTCCACCTGTAGCTGAAAGAATTCTACCTACATAAGTGAAAGATGCGGTTTCCTTTAGATTTTTCTCATTTTTGGTGACTGATTCTTGTTGCTATTGGTTACGTATCTTCGTTATCTCTGTTTTGTTTATCTTCACTTGAAGTTCTGTCTCCGTTGCCTCTTCTGTCAACTTGTTGATTTTTGTTTGTTTATCTTCTGGTTTGTGAGCTACATAAGAAAAAATCACATGTGAATCTAGATCTTCTTGGGTCTTTTTATTGGTTATCGCGACACCCTAGGATACCCGCCCAACTCGTCACTTTCCATCCAGGTTCCACTGGAGGGCCTGGTGTGTAACGTCATCAGCGGCAAAGTTATATTTAAAGTAGATTTCGTCAAGAATAGACATCTTTTAGAACAGTAGACAGTTGTTTCTTCTAATTTTTAGAGGTCTTTTAGAAGTACGCATTTATGGATCAAACCCAGAACAATTAGGTTACAAAGTTGCAGCACGCCATCACTGAGTCCAACGGCTCATCAGTTCTTACTTCTGTCAATCTTGAAAGCAATCAAATTTTTACAAATCCAATAGTTGTAGGTTATATTTCTATGAGGAAAAAACCAAAAGATACCTAAAGGAATCCATCGAATATTTTTTGACCACAGTACTTTGTTCATAGAAAATCGCCTAAAAGCGTATGCAGATAATCAAATGTAGTTTCAAAAAGCTGTTTGCTACAATGAATACGGTATTTTTTTAAATACATTATGGTAAGTGTATAGGAATAATAGGTATTAGAAGTTCCCTAGTAAGTTGTCGTGTTCTGCAACAAAAATGATACACACTTGAGGAAACCTTATACAAGAATTATTATTATATTATTATCATTGTTCCCTTTGGTTCCTAGTGGAACATAGGGCTACAACTGAACGTCTCCACTTGCTTCTGTCTTCTGCTGTACTTTTCACCTGCATCCATGTTAGTCCATACTGTTTCAACTCTTCTTCACGCGATATCCTCCATGTCACTCTTGGACGTCCCACTCGCCGCTTCCCTTTCGGGTTCCACTCGAGCTATGGCCTGACGCGCGATATCACCCAGCGGCCTCCTCAGCGAGTGTCCAGTCCATCTCCACTTTCTCTTGCATATTTGTTGGGCGATTGGTTCTTGTTTTGTTTGTTCCCATAGTTTCTTGTTGGTGATTCTTTCCGGCCATCTGATCTTGAGTATAGAACGAAGATAGTTGTTGATAAAGGTGTGCAACCTGTTGGAAATATTCTTTGTGACCCGCCAAGTTATACAAGAATGGTTGGGATAAATGACATAGTCCCTACTCGGTAATCAACATATTATATTTAGGTCAAAGCTTTGGAGAAAGTTCAACAGCTATCCGTGTTCACAAGTTTTTCAGACAATATCCTAGCATCACCAACGATTGTACCAATTTTAAACATTGGATGAATCTTACTAAAATCGTTATTTTATCAAGTATCTTTTGAAATGCGTCTTTTCCATGAACAAGCAAGATCAAACAGGCACCGCGAATCCTTCCACCAGTCATCATCAACCAATGAACCTCATCTCTTCAGTGATGATACTTTCATTATTTACGATGAGAATTTGGATCTCGGAAATCTACCCCAAACATTAACTTTACTCTAGAAGCTGAATCTGACTCAAGTTTTGTCGCTCATGGATTCTCTTTTCTTCAGGATCCAGAAAATGTTTATTGAGAAATCTATTGACGAAGGACTGTTAATTCTCTGGGGAATATGGACGAGAAATAGTTCGCCACCTAGATTCATAGACAAGAACCTGAAATCAAAGAGAGCCGCCGAACATGTTGAGGTCACCCCCAAAAAGATTCTTGTGCTACTGAATCCCGGATTTAAAAGCGATGCTAAAGCAATAACTTTCAATAAAACATACTTCGCTACCAGACTACAAGTAACATTTTCTTCCAAGAATCTATTCAGCCAGCAAGTGAAAGGCAAGCTATCGCATTCGGTCAAATCAACATATATATTACTAGCTCACTTACGCTTGTAGAGCTAAGTACATTGATCGTACCGTGAGTCCGTTTGTAAAACGCTCTCATGAACACTATCTAGCTTGGCTAGCAAAGGGAGAACGTAGGTGTGCATGTACCTCAGTAACAGAACATCTAGTGAACTCAGGACACCCATCTGCATTTGTAAATTCCTTCAAATTCATTTACAAGATCCAATCAAACCTCTCGGAGGGAGTGACATCAAGATATCTAGGTATCCATAAAAACACTAGCAATTCAAAAATTCAATCCAACGCTGCTGTATGTTCAAAAGAAATACGTCCAAACTTTGTCTTTACCTACGGTTATCATAAACAGTAAATTCTCTCAATACTGATTATCCAATTACGTTTCTTATCATAACTTTCTGTTTATATTTGTTATTAGAATGTTTCGCATTTATTATTTTAAGCCTATAATAACAGTAATTATTTTTATAATATATCATTATTTCACTTTTATTCCACAGAATTTATTTTCATTATGATATATATTGTAGACTATAATTAAATGAATGGTTTTGTGATTTATTCAGTGGTCACCTTTGTAGAAATAACCTTTCATCACATGACTCAAATATACGAAGGTCATTCAAACGTCAATAAATTCAAATAGAGGTAATAAATAAAAAGTTGTCTGTTAAATGTAGGAAAGCAGGTTTTATGTAATGTCCCACTGTTCTTTTGTTAATACCCTACCAGACTATGTACTTGATCGAATTGTAATTATAAATGATGCTCATGAGCATCATATAAGTGGATTTAAACTTGCCAAGGCAAGTGAATACTTTAAACGTCAGCTAGTTGAATTACGTCAAAGTGAATTAGAAAAATATCAAAGAAAAGAAGAAGCTGATGAATCACGACGTCAATCACGTCGAGCTAGAGCAAGAAGTTTATGTGATCTTGAATTACAACCTCTTATAATTAAATATCAGGATATATATGGATTAGAATGTTTATTATCATTTATACATTGTAGTGAAGAAACTCGTAGTAACACACTAAGTACTCAACTTAATCCATCGACTGTGAATTCTTTAATGAAAGCAGGATTACACTTTCAAGTACCAGGATTTGTTAATCAATGTATGCAAATAGTTCAAAATAATATAAATAAAAAAAATTGTTGGAGTTATTGGAAAGCTGCTGAAGAGTTATCAAGTCAGCTTCCAGAATTTCAAACTTTAACATCACGCTATTTACTAGCTAATTTTATCGAAGCTGGAGAAAGTGAAGAATTCCTTAGTCTAAGTTTGGAAGACTTTAAAAAGCTACTGAAAGAAGACTCTTTGAATTGTTCAAATGAAAAGTCTTTATTCACACTGATTGAACGTTGGATCTATCATAAACAATCAGAAAGAGGATTATATATTTGTCAGCTGTTAGAATGCCTGAGACTCGGTCGACTCACACTTGAAGATTTAGATTGTTTATCCTCCAACTCACTAATACAAGCAGTTTGGAATTCTTGTAGTCATATTATACAAATGTCGCGTTCGTCTGTTGAAGAATTAGCCATCAATCCCAACGGATCATTGAATCCTAGATCTGGAGATGATACTGAACTTCATGCATACCTACAAAAGCCTCGTCTTCCTCATTCTGCAATTTTTGTTGTCGGTGGATGGGAAGGAAACCAAGATGATCCTAATTTTGGTCCATCTAGAGCAATTCAAGTGTATAACTCACGATCTGATACATGGCGCCGTATCGTTTCGGATGGTTTGGCTCTTGATGAGGGTCATGCTTACTCTGGTTGTGTTTTATACAAAACACGAATCTATGTTATAGGTGGTTATGTGTCAAGTGGACCAACACAGACTTTGAAAGCCTTTGAATTAACTAATCTCACCTGGCGATTCTTATCCCCTATGCATGAGAAAAGAAATTATGTGTGTACATGCATTTTAGACAATGTAATCTATGCAATTGGAGGGCATAATGGTAGACATCGGCTTAGCTCTGTTGAACGATACGATATTGATCAAAATCACTGGGCTTTTGTATCACCGATGCGTCAAGTTCGGAGTGATGCAGGCGCTGATTCACTCCTAGGTCGTATATATGTTGTCGGTGGTTTTGATGGTCATCATTTCTATGATTCTGTAGAAATGTATGATCCACGTACAGATCAATGGTCATTAGTATCTCCAATGCATAATATTCGAAGTGGTGTTAGTGTTATTGTACATGGTCGATACTTATATGCAATAGGTGGAAATGATGGACTTCAACGCTTACGTACAGTAGAACGTTATGATCCTGAAACAAATCAATGGCAGTCTATGCCTTCAATGACTCGTCAAAGAAGTAATTTTTGTATTGCTGTATTAGATGATATGATATATGTTATGGGTGGTTGGAGTGATGAAACAAATTCAACAATTTCTCTAGTTGAACGATGGTCTCCAGGCCTTTATAGTCAATGGGAGCCAGTTAGAGAATTATATCTACCAGCAAGTGCAAATTGTTGTTGTTCTGTTACTGGATTAGAATTATTATCAGAATTTTTATACACTTAGATAAACTGTTGTAAATGATGTGAATAAGACAAACTTCAAATACTAATATTTTTATAATTCACTATAAATAATATCATGCTTTGTAAAATATAAAATCTCTATGAATGTTTGTTATATTACAGAATTGTAAATAATAATTATAACAATAACTTGATAACTCTCTCTGTATTGAATACACAAATGAACACTAATTAATGAATCCTTTCCAAAAATGTTAGACATCAGTTACTGAATCCCTCAACCAATTTTCATTTTATTCTTATTCCATTCAATCATGTAACTCATCTCAAAAGCGAAGGTTGGTTATTATGTTTACAAATACATCTATTACTTATGCTAATTTTTCTAAAATGAAACAGTTATCTGGACAAAAGTAAACGATGCAGAAGATCTTAGAAAACAAAGTGGAAACCTTTAATAATCTTATAACTTAAACATCGTCGAAATACAAAACAAAAAATACAAAAACAACAGTGAATTAATTTGCCTACAATCAAGAAGATTTCTATGATCCCAGATGTGAATATTAATTTCAAGAATTATTTATATATTCTGCGTTTATTTATCAAAAAATCATCGAAAGTTTAAAAAATACACACATATATACCTTTCGTATCATTTAAAACAAAAAGTGGTTATACTGCGTCAGTCTATCACACTTTTTGTTCAATCTTCAATGTTGAATTTTTATTTTATCAAATCGATCTACTTGTGCATAGTTTCAGTTCTATTTTTTTACTATATTTTTATTCTATTCTCAAGTGATTATCAACTGGGATCAGAAGGTTAAGAAGGAAACAGGGGAATAAAATCAGAGATGTTACATTCCTTTGTTCATTTAATTTATTTTCTGTACATATGCACAGATGAAGAAAAAAGTCATTTCAGTTAACCGATATCTTCTTTATTTGGTTTATTCTTAAGAATCATCGTTTTCCTCCTAGTGTAGTATGACTTCTGCAGGCATTCTGTTTAAATTCTATCTTTGGTAAACAAATATGGTTAACTGACAAAGGTTATTTTGTAAGGCAAGTGAGTAATTAGATTTCATTGTCAATGGTCTTTAGGAATTATTTGTTCGCATCCAGGCACGCCGTTTATGAATAGTACATGACTGACTCATTCATTTGTTTGCACTCTAACTTATTTGAATAACGCTGTTACATTGTGAAAAGTTCACGACATGAATGATACGTTTGAACTGTAAACTAATTAGCAATTTCTTAGTTGAAAAATGCTAACCAAACAATTTTTAACTAATCGAATTACTTAGCTTCATATGAATGCAGTTATGTTGAACTGAGAACAAGAAGATTCAGAATAAACAAATATTTATTTATTCATTTACATCACATTGGTATAACAGCAAGAACAATAACAAAACAATAGCTGGCTACAGCAATATAACAGTACAGTACACAGAGTATTTTTACAAACCATTTAATTTTTGTTAAATGATTATCCTCACACAGAAAGTCAAGAAATTTCTTATCTTATACTAACCTTATAGAAAGAAAATCTGAAAATGCTTCTGACTGACGATTTTGACTATTCCTCCAGAAGAACGTGCTGCAGGGGTAGGCAATTCCCCAGAATTATTGGACACAGGATTCATCACTCAACACTGGATGTTGATCCCCACTGTTTAAGTCTATTTGTTTAGCCGAAGGCTTGCCGTCAATCATCTATGCTATTTGGCATGCTGTCGTGTTACGTTCGTTCGTTCGTTCGTGCACGATCCCTAGCTAGTTAAGCAATCATCTCGCACTGTGATTTGGTCCCGAAATATACTACGTAATTCGGCCGATCAATTCTGGTGTTTTACTTTGCCTGTTGGTCTATGCGGAACGGATACTATAGAATTTGTGGGTATTAGATGTTGCATCAGTATACTTCGTACTATCCGTGAACGTCAACACCCTCAGCATCTAAAATCCTTTCATTTATATATTCAACCAGTTGTTGCCACTTTTATCTATTAGTTAAAGTTCATCTTGTACTGAAAATACGGTGTGGCATCAAGCTGTAATCAAAATTAATTAAATTAATTAATTAATCTTAAATCATTCTTAGTCAGAGATACTGTTGTAATTATTTTCGCACATAAAATGTTTTAGTTTAGCTCATCACATGTATGCTGAGTGTTTTCTCGTTTGCTACTTTTCATCTCAGTGTAGTTCAGATAACCTTATTCAGCAGTTCACATGATACTAGACAAATGATAGCAACGCAGCTATCTGTTTTACCGGAGTGAATTTCTGTTTGTCTGTTTGCGACATAGAGCTTTGCCCATATGTGCAGCAGTTCAAGTCGCCACACTTCATGTAGCACTCAAAGCAAGAGAAGAAAGTAAGAGAAATGCATATTAGAGACAGTAAACAGAGGTGTGAGACAAAGGAATAGTAATAACGAAGAACAAAACAGTTTCATTGGAAATCATAAGTCACAAGGAGTGAATGCATCTGCGCCAGCCAGTGAGAACTATTCTGAGCCATATCACCAATTGTTTCAAACCATTGGTTTTTACCGTCCCGGGGACCCCAACCAGGAAGTCTACACCTTCCTACGTGGCCTAGACTAACTGTTGTAGATTTCGTTGACTGGTGCCATGTTTTGGTGTGACCGTAGCTAGCTCTTTTCCGGCCTGACCCTATATCAGCTAACATTGCCCATAGGTCGAGGAAGGCGATGACTAGGCAAACGTAACACATGTCCTAACCATCTCAATCGGTGTAACTTCACAGCCTCGTCGATTGATTTCTCCTCCTTACCTAGCACTCGACCGATGTCTAACCTCAATATTGCTCACCTTATTATACCATTTCACACGGGAGATAGAACACAGGCACCTATGACCAATAACAGCTAATCTTTTCATGTTTTCCACTGTCAATGGCCAGGTCTTACATCCATAAAGGAGGATGGAGCGGACTACTGAGCAGTACACACACCCTGTGGTCGATAGTCGGATATCACGTCTACGTCAGAGACGGCGTAGAATTTCTGTGTAAGTATTGGGAGGAGAACTCTGCTGTCAAATCCTGGGCTACAAAGAAATATCTACCTAATAATTCTGGATTTTAGCTAATGGTAGCTCCTGATGCAAATTAACCTCAAGTCTTATTGATATTCCAGTTAAATAGATTGACTGAAGACTTGGATTATGAAATACAACATGATAACTAACAAATAAGACTATGTGACTGAAAGTTCCCAGTAAGCTGCTAAATAATTCAAATGAACTACGACAATCACATTAGAATTCAAGTTCAGATAAAATCTTGTGTTCAGTTCATTAGTAAATCAAATAATAAGCGTGTTGATTGAATGTTACGTTCCTTAGAACTTGTCTTATTTCTTACGAATTCTAGTACACACAAACACTTTTAATATCATAAGATTACGTCATCAAGGCTTTTTGTATTATTTTAATTCAATAGAAATATCTACAGCTGATAAATCAAGTGATTGAAAACACAGTGAATATGTGGTAACACAAATTCCAACGTATTGCAAGCTACTGGTTGTGTCGTTCAAAAGCTACACTATATCAGCACTACTAAACGTAATATGCTTAATTACGCAATGTCAGTACACTGTCTGACTTGTAAGTACTGATAACAAAAAACAAATCAAAATGACTAAGTTATTCAAGAGTGTATTTTGATGAGAAATATATTTTCATAGGACGAAATATTAAGAAAAGATTCCAGAATTTATCTGGCTGCTATAGATAAACTACAGATTGTGAGTATATGCGTGCTGACAGTACAGGGAAGTAGAGCAAAATGGCGTCCTAGCCCGTACAGATGTGTATCCGTTAAAACAAAACTTAGGACACTCAAAAAATCCTCATGAAAGTTAAACGTTTACTTAGCTACTACTAAGTTGATTCAGTTTGACCTGTTAATCTTAGGTTTATTCTGGTGCCATGGAAGGTATATTACATCATCTGATAAAATAAAGATACATTCATGAAATAACTGTTTATTTTGAGATGGAACTAAATCTGCCTCTAAGGAATCCACTAATATTTTACCAGAAATTATCTGTACGACGACGATGAATATAAGAACGGAACTTATATCGTTTGTTTTAGTTAATACAGCACACAGGTCTATAGTATAATTAATCGGCGATATTTTGAACATAAACTGTTATTAGTAATAACATTAATAGGATAAACATATAGAATATATGTATATATATCAAAACAAATCTGAAAAAATATTGGAATTTTCGGAACAAGTAAACAAATTCATTCTGCGCATTATAAAATTAAAAATGATGTCTGAAGTCATTGACGGAACAGAAAATAACGGTTTGTCATGAATAAATCTTGCAGAATAGCATGTCTATAATTACACAGATTTTGTAAATAAACAATTTAGGCAGCTTTCCAAAGTGTTTTAAGCAAATGCACTATTGTGCCTGAGTGTATTCCAGTTTATAACACATATGTATATATTTGATGACGATGAAGTCACATACAGAGGAAGCCGATGTTCTAATGTTCTGAGTACATCAACTTCCAAGGCTACTGACTAAACAATGGTTGTCAGTTTTAACCTTTACTTCAGTTCTTAAATTAAGCAGACTTTTTCCATTGCTTACTGCTATCCGTATGACAGCGGATTTTTAATAACTTTTGTCATAGTATCTTGTATTTAAAGCAAAAAGAAGACATTTTTTTCTAAATTTTCACTCACTTTAGTACGACTTGTGTGACTGCGAAATTCTTTACGCTTCTATACTACTGACTGACTGGTATGAGTAGCGGCGTACCACTCAAATCAACCTGTAGGGCTAGCTAGACAGACTAGGAAAATCTAAATACCAGACGGCAATTTCGTTCGCTTGCAGTCAAACTCATCAGTGGTGTCACTGGTTTAACCCAGCTCAGACAGCCGAGTCATTTAGAACCACCCGATTTTCGTCTGGCTACCTGAGAGAAATGTAACACCTTCAATCAAATTCTTGATGTGAATTACCCTGTGCTGTCGCCTAATTGATCAGATATGTTATGGGGTTGACAGACATATATCTTCCACGATACGACATCCACGGCGTGGCACCACTGACTGTTAAAGATAGAGATGGTGGTAGGATTGCAAGCCATTATAAAAAGCCACATGCTCGCACTGCCAAGTATGGAATCTCAACGATATTCTGTTTTGCTTGCTTTGTATGTGATAAAGGTAGTGTTAAATGGGAAACTAGCATAAAAATGGCCCAGTTATACTCACACTTTGTAATTTTCCGATAACAGTGTCCCCCATTAATTTACATTTTTGTGTAACTGACACTAATACCATTATTCTTACATTTTACATATGTAGATTTTGACCTTACCGTTTCCACTAAAGCTTATTTTATCTATTTTCGTTAAGTGTGTTCTGTAATGTATTTTGCCTCTTATTGTTGTTCAGCACATTAGACGCAGTACTGCACAAAATGTTGAAAGTTTCACACTTTATCACAAGTACTCTTTTGGAACAACGCAAATTGTTATGATGCAGATGGAGACCCATCCAGTATTCGTGGGAATAGATTGCACGATGTACTGACGGACGAAAGCGAGATTGTCTCAATTTCGAGTTGGTTTGGCGCACTCAGGGTAGCTGGGTAGTTAACGCCTGAAGCTTGCATGCGTCACCTCTACTAGGAACAATTCAGAATAGGTGATAGGTGATGGCAGGGATAATTGGCGTTTGGCTGGCAAGAGGTTGTATGAAGAGTACGATGTGGTACTGCTGTGGCCATGCTATTTAATGGGAGAATCGCTGCGACAGGTGGCATTTAAAGATGTCAAGAAAGCGCCATAGCCGGAGGTCAATTCAGTGAGACTTGCAGCATCGTTGAATGGATTGTGAAGGTCGTTGTCCATGAGTTAGAGTGCACACCAGTGTGATATGTTTACCTCTGCTGTGTATTGTTTTTGTTTGGCTCTGCATTTCAGCCTTGTCCTTGCTGGTCTGGGTTTTTCCACTGATGGCTAAGTCAGCGTGTATTGATCATACTGGAAAAAATGAGTAAACCATTTTTTGCTCGGTAGTTTCAGCGTCGGTGAATACTAAATAAGCAACTTATGGTTTGTTTACTCTGCGTGACAGGAAGCTGCATAGGCAGCTATAGCCTAACCGAAAGCTGTTTGACGGAAGACTGCAAAAAAAGTCAGAAATATTACTGCGATTTATTCTAATGTTTATTGGTAGATCTTGTGTTGTAGTAACTCTGTATTCGTGGTTCATCCTCAGCGAAGAAATAAACATCCCTCGAATACCCAATGCATTCTAACAATTTTAAGTCGGTTGCCTCAGACAGCACCTTGAGGCAGCGATTAGTTTTCTGCGATAGCGATAAGCTCTGAATCTTTTCCGATATGCACCGTCGACAGTGAGTATTACTGCAGTGAACGGTTAGCTTAGTTCGGCGCTCCCACTTTTCTCCCACAGAAGTTTGGGAATTATTAGACTTCGGGGTTTACCACTCAAAAATCACTAATAAGTGGGTTCATTTTGCAAATGAAGCTCTGTTCGCTGAGTGCATATTGGATATATTTCAGTTGCTGAGAAGTGAAAATGAACTATCATATGAATTTTTTTAATAGCGAATGACTGACAGAACACAGTTCTACTGACGGCAACATCACAGGTGATGGAAAACCTGCTGAACGATCACTTCAGGAAATACCTAAACTAGAATAAAATATTGCAAGTAACTTACCATGGATTCAGAAATTGGCAGTATTGTGCTTTTAATCTTCAAGCAGCTTGGAATAACTAGAGAGAATGCTGGTATCAAAACATCTCAGTTCACTGATTGGTTCTAGAATTTAAGAAAGCATTTAGCTCGATGACTCCCGAAATCTAATTCTACGAATGCTGCTAAACTGAAAACCAGCAACCTATTGCTTTGTTGGGTTATAGTCTAATACACTGCAGAGGGTTTTATACGAAGGCAAATCAAACATGTTCCACATAGAAAAAAGAGGTGGCTGGGGTAATAACCGGGCTAATTCCGGGTCAATTACAACGTTTGGTATTTGTAAGCAATCTTCGGAACTAATTTAGTACATTCACGCTTCTCTACAGAGATGGCGTAAAGGTGTGTAGAACCATCAGCGAAAAGGAGGATTGATTCGTCTACATGAAGGACTTGGCTGACAGTGTTCATCTGTTCATCTGTTCATCTGTCTATGGCGGCCTGTTTGACATCTGGGCTACCTTTCTGTACATCTACATATTTGCATCTAATACATCATGTTTCCATTTTTAATTTTAACAAAATATGGTCACAAATCGTATCAAATACAGTAATGAATTCATTAAATGTTTTAAACCATATGACTTTCATGCATCTAATAAAACTAAGAGAAAACATCATGGTGGTTGGCAACGCGCTCTCAAACGGACACCATTATATCGCACAACTATTCCTGTTATTGTCAGTTCAAACTGCCGTTCACTTCCCAACAAAATTATGCATCTCCAGTCTCTCTTATCATCTGATACTTATCACAATACTGCGATAGTCACATTACAAGAAACATGGCTCCATGATCTTTATGACGACAACCTGGTTTCTCTAAATGGTTTCACATTGTTTAGACAAGATCGAATATGCTCTAGAAAGAAAAGAGGTGGTGGAGTCGCAACCTTCATTCATTCTCAGTGGTCAACTTCAAATAATGTATGTTTTTCTTTCTCTAGTGACTTTATTGATTGTATTACAGTCAAATGTCGTCCGAAACACCTATCCAAGTTTAAATACGTCTTCATCTCAAACATTTATGTTACTCCTGGATGTTCCGCCTCGGATCTATCTCATTTTGCCGATGAATTCACAGCATTCGCGGTTACACATCTTGAAAACTCTTTATCAGTTGTCACTGGAGATTTCAATACCTGTGACTGTTCTTTTCTTGAATCATTAGGTCATGTCAACATTGTCAAATTTCCAACTCGACTTGATAAAACTCTGGATCTAGTATTTACTAATGATGCGGAAATATATGAAGCACGCAGACGTGCTCCTATAATGAACTCTGATCATTGTATTATTCGGATATTACCCAAGATATATAGCAGATATCACTCTAATATCCTCTCGAATCTCTCCAGGAAAACACAACAAAGATGTTACTCACAAGAAAACGTGCTCAAACTAAGATGTATGCTAAGTGACACAAACTGGGAACTTTTCACTGAACACACTCTGGATGATACTATTTCCAATCTGACTGACTATCTTAAATTCTGCCTTGATGTATGCTGCCCTAAACAGATACTTTTCAAAAGAATAGATCGTTTCTCTTCTCCTCATCTCAAAAAGCTTCGAAGAGAAAAAGAGAGACTGTACAAGGCTAAGGATAAAGCTGGTCTTAGGAGAATAAACATCCAAATCAAATCCGAAATCAAGAGGTTAAACAATATTTATAATCAAAGAATTTTGTCATGTAAAACTCCTGGGAACATGTGGAAGCTTTTCAAAGAAATTACAGGTTGTGGTAAGCATAGTTCTTGTTCTCCCTCTATTGATGTAAATACTCTTAATAGATCTTTTATCCGCCTTCCCAATGTACCTTCTAGCTTCAATGTAACAAATAACATGACCAGTGACTTTAATAGTTTTAAAACTTCTGATGTTCTTAAATGTTTAAAATCTCTTAAACCTTCCCAGAGTCTAGGTCCTGATGGTATACCTGCCATTGTCCTTAGTAAATGTGCTGATATTTTAAGCAACCCACTTACAAACATTTTTAATACTTCTTTTTCTAATAATGTTGTACCTTCTCTGTGGAAAGATATTAAAATCATCCCTGTACCTAAGTCAGGCTCTGGTAATAATGCTAAGTTCAGACCTATCGCTATAACCTCTCCTTTTTTGAAACTAATGGAGAAACTATTGTTACTAAAACTTGTTCCCTCTCTAAGCTTCTCTAACGATCCAAAGCAGTTTGCTTACAAACAGGGTAAAACTACTTTGGACGCTGCTGCTGTGTTTCATCACAACATTGTATCCTCCTTAGACAAAGGGGCCAAGTTTGTCCGTTGTACGTTCCTTGACTATACATCTGCTTTCGACTCTGTACCTAGAGGCCTATTGTTAAACAAGCTTAGCCTAGCACAAACTGAGCCCTGGGTTATCAACTGGCTGCACTCTTACTTCTCTAATAGGATGCAGTACACTGTATATAAAGGTGCATCTTCCTCTCCATTGCTTACTGAAGCTGGAGTTCCTCAGGGTGCTGTTCTTTCTCCGTTTCTCTTTTCCTTCTTCTTACATGATCTACCTCTCTCAGATGAAGTCAACTTCGTCAAATATGCAGATGACCTGTCTGTATCGTTTTCCATTAAGTCTCAGTCAGACTGTCTCAAATTAAATAGCTTCCTGTCGGACATCAGTGAGTGGTCCAAACTAAATGGTCTCATGCTGAATCCCTCAAAATGCCAGACTGTCGACTTCTCCCTTAGGCATAAACGAGATCTACAAACACTAGTAAGTTCTCATGAAGACTGTTGCATTGAGGGGACTAAAATTGAAACTAAGTCTAATGCAAAATACCTCGGTCTAGTTCTATCTTCTGACCTTACTTGGACATCTCATATCCTAATGATTTCTAGGAAAGTGTTCTGTCTTACCTACTACATTAAGAAACTTAGACAATCCGGAATCACCAAACCTCTACTCTCACAATTCCTCAACTCTTGTATCCTACCTATTCTACTTTACTGCTCCCCGTTAGTCTTTCCTGGTCTACTGAAAAAGGACTATTCCATCCTGAGAAGGATGTTGACAGTAGTTAGTAGGACTAGTGGTGTTAATCTCAGTCAGCTCGTGACTACTTTAGTTGATAGGCATCTGAATACATGTGAAAGATGGTCAAAAACCATACTCTCAGACCCCCAACACCCCCTCTATTCCCAACTCTCTCCTTGTATCTCATCAAGTAAAACCAGAAATCAGTATAAAAGAATCTATGCTCGTACAACCAAGTACAGGAACTCAACGATACCATACTTGGCCCGTGTTCTAAGCGACAGAGACAATGTTAGGCGTGAAACCTGTGACTTGCTTTGTTATTAACAACATAATTTCATACTCTTTTATTTCTCTCTTATTTCGTATCCTTTAGTGAACTCCTTCTTCAAACTACTTAGCTACCTGAAATATTAACATTGGCTTCCTTTTTTGTACTTTACTATATTCCTTCTATTGTGTATCACTGGTTCCGACTATATTAGCACTATGAGTATTACAAAATTGTCGTGTCATTAACCATCATGTAATTATTAGTTTTGTGGTTGCTTTTCTTATTTTCTATACTTTTCGGCAATATTAAACTGACAATCATTGTTTGTGAATGCCATAGTCACCACCTCAAAAAAATTTTGTATTATTCAGGATTACTCACACTACCACCACAAACACTGCATTAGATCTTGGCAGACTTTGGTACTTTTTCGCATTCATAATTATTTTGTGTTTATCCTGCTTTTTCTTTTTTTTTTGCTGTTGGTGTCTTCAGATTTACTTTTTTTGTTTGTTTAATACTTATTTTAAACGTCGGTAAAATTAGATGCAAATATTGTAGATATGTGCTGAAAATTCCACACTGTACCACTGTACTGTTTCTGGAATAAAGCAAATTATTATTATTATTATTATTATTACAGAATCAGAATACACATTCTCACGACACTTATGTATTTCACACAGACATCGTGGGACCAAGGGCTTGTTCTGGAAGACACAGTGGACACAAGTTATTACTATTATTGTATCCTTTAATTCCTAGAGGAACATAGGGCTTCAGCCGTGCGTCTCCATTGAGTTCGGTTCTCTGCTAGAGTCTTCACCTGGCTCCATGTCTGCCCACACGTTTTCATCTCCTCTTCACATGACCTCCAAGTCACCTTTCACCGACGACCAACTCGCCGCTTCCCTTTCGGGTTCCACTCGAGCAATGGCTTGTCTAGTGATGTCACTTGATGGTTTCCTCAGAGTATGACCGACCAATCTCCATTTCTTCCTGCCTATTTGTTGCACAATCGGTTCCTGGTTGGTTCGCTCACTGCCAGAGATCCCTGTTGCTGATCTTTTCTAGGCGGCCATCTGATCTTGAGTATTGAGCGAAGACAACTGTTAATGAATGTCTGTAGTTTGTTTGAGATGCTCTTTATGACGCGACGCCAAGTCTCTGATCCGTATAGTAGCACTGACTTCACATTGGAGTTGAAAATCTGGATCTTATTTTTGATGCTGAGTGTTGTTGACCTCCACACAGACTTGAGAGTAGTGAAAGCTTGTCTTGATTTTCCGATTCTTCCTTTGATATCCTCGTCAGTTCCGCCTGTAATTGAAACGATGCTTCCAGGCGGGTAGGTAAAAGAGGTCGTTTCTTTTAGGTTCCTCCCATTTATGCTGATTGTTGTCAGTTGTTGTTGTTGCTGTTGATGGTGTTGCCCAGGAATTTTCATCACCTCTGTTTTATTTATGTTCACCTGAAGTCCTTCCTTTGATGCTTCTTCTGCTAACTTGTTGCTTTTCGCTTGCATATCTTCCAGTTTGTGGCAAATCAGACACATATCATCGGCGAAGTCCAGATCCTCCAAGTTTTTTGTGTGAGTCCATTTCATGCCTGTTTCCTCATTGCCCGCTGTTTGTCGCATTATCCAGTCTAATACAATCAGGAAAAGCATTGGCGATAGTAGGCAGCCTTGTCTTACTCCTGTCTTCACCTCGAAGGATTCCGTAAGTTTCCTGTTGTGCATTACTTGACATGCAGCATTGTCGTACAGCTGTTGGATGAGATGTATAATTGTCGGTGGCACCCCATAGTAGCGAAGTAGTTGCCAAATCACCTCTCGATCGACACTGTCAAAGGCCTTTTCAAAGTCGATGAATTTGAGATAGAGGGGTGACTGCCATTCCAGGCTTTGTTCAGTGATGATCCGTAATGTGGCGATCTGATCAATGCATGACTTGTTTCTCCTGAATCCAGCCTGGTCTGGTCAAAGTTTTTCATCCAGGGCTTGTTTGATCCTTTCCAGGATGATGCGGCTTAGTATTTTGCTTGGGATGGACAAGAGCATAATTCCGTGCCAGTTCTTGCATTGACTTAAGTCTCATTTCTTTGGTAGTTTGAATAAGTATCCTTTCTTCCTATCCTCGGGTACTTTGCCTTCTTTCCACACCTTCTCCAATAGTGGCGTCATCAAGTTCGCTGTTGTCTCTGGGTCCACTTTCACGCTGGCGAAACCATTAGACCAATCTTATTAGAGCGTTGGCAGCAAGGATTATTTCCATGCTGTCGCACGAAACGCAATTAGGACAGAATCTAGAAGTTAAAGTTGTCACTGCACGACCATACCAAAAACGAGATGCAAGTCTTATAGGAAAATTACAAAGAATGACAGGTAAAACTATCATTGGACTGAAATGATGAACTTAAGAAGACCAATGGCGAAAGTTCAGGGGCAACCTCACCACGGCATAACAAGTGGTTCATCGTTCAAATAGCTTTATCTGTGACATATTAAAAGAAGTCCGCCACGACACACCTAGGGAAAACCTTAACAGAAGTGTTCATCAGTCGAAAGAAGCAACTTCAAAGGCTAACTCCTTTTCCCTCATTGTTCACAATCTAAAACCTGGAAGCCTCCCCGCCATTCAACAGCTTCAGGAGAAGGCGAGACGACTGCTAGAAAATCATAGGTTTGCGTGAAGGAGTGAAGCTGTCAAAACAACATTGGACATTGGATTTAATTTGCTTGGCTCGCAGCTTGTATTGTAACGCTTCACCAGCTGATGTGGGTTTAGCTGATTTCGCGTTATTTGTTTCGCAGCGTATTGAGAAATAATTTCTTTTTGGTGTGTTACTGAAAATTAATTAATTTCGTTTCAAAATTAGTTTGTGTCTAGTAAAAGTTATTGAGGTTTCTGAGTCCAGGAAACGACAACACTTATATATTCTCTCTCTATATATATAGGTTATATTAGGTCGTGTCATAATCTTTGCCGTTGACAGAAACACGAAGATACTTCAAGACCTTCTTGGAAGTTACCACTGAAATTCTAGGACAGTCAGCATTGATTTATGTTAGCAAAGTTATATGCTGGTGACGCTGGGAATTAAGTTTCAAAACTTCTCAATAGGAATACAATTGTTTCTGTTAAATGTAAATTTGGAATAAACTCATTCGATTGTAAATCACACTCTATGCATTCTTATTGTGCGGTGGAGTCACATGTCTGTATATACCGTAACTTGCAATAAACCTGAAATTGCACCCAAAGTATCTGATATTATGTGTAATTAGGCAGCAGTGAGAGTTCATGAAATGTCTTAGGAGATTATTGCCGACAAGATGACGTAGGTGTGTAGATTTAGGGACCATGAATCTTCCTGATCTTTCTGTTACACCCTCACACTTCTAGCCAACAAAAAATCTGAGGGCGTTTTTTGGGGCAACCTAATACACCCATTTGGGGGAAATTTTCAGGAAATGCGACATTTACCTCAAAAAACCCTGGAAATCCCAAGTTTCCCCAAATGCCGTTAGATTACCTTAATAAACCCCAAAGTTCTCCCAAATCTAACCTAAATTTCTCCCAAACCCATGAATCTGCCTAAAAATTGCCTTTAAATTATTTGGGTAGTGCTAATCGCTAAATTTTGGCTGGTAGGTTTT